GCTGATGGACACCTGGGGACATGAGAAATACCTGGATTTTTGAAGTAGTGTCATACGTGCATAGCTTGTGCACCTAAATTCTGGAGCTAAGCAGTAGTCCTGGTTCTTGCATTATAGCCATAACTTGAATCTCTCATCTTCTATTCTGATCAGACTGTTTTGGAGCAGCCTCATATCAGTCTTTAATAGATCTACCAATGTGTTGCCAACATTTTGGCACAATATATAACCAGTGTATCAAAGGGAAAAACAAAGATCAGGACACAATTAGGGTTAATGTTGGAGAAACAGAACTTAATCTAACCTAATGTCAGGCAAGTAATGATGGTGCCCATTGTCATGGATTTCTAAAATCTTTCTTAAAATCCTAATCTCTTAAAAACTGTGGGATAACTAAAGACGTTCTTTACACCTTGTTTCAATATCTGATCCATGCAAATCCCAGAGTTCAACACATATTTTCATGCGTGATATGGCATCCCATGTTGATAGCTACAAAACAAAGTTCTGTATCAAAATTTTTGCATAAGTAAGATGACAGGATGTTGCATGTTATCATAAGCATTGTCTCCTCGTTTCTGAGAACTATGTATTTTTAAATTTACCTCCTTGTAGTCGTGATTTCTCTTCTGTTTTATAAAGCCCAAATAGTGATAACAAGGACAATTCTGCCAGTTTTTCCATCTTGGCGATTACATCCTTTGTGGCCCATACAGGGAGTGTATAATTGTGAATATCCTAGTGATAAAAGAAAACAAAATAATGTTTTTTTCTTCTACTGGTTTCCATCATCTTGTTGCCCAGCCTCACAGTACTACATTTAGACTCTCTGAGTCTGTCCTGTAATCCTTTGCCCAGTGTGGTTTAACACATCAGCATATGAAATACCCTTTGTGGAAATGAGGATCAACCTCAAGTGAATGAATGGGAAGAGGGAAAACACCTGTGTGAAGGGGATCTCTTGTAGGTATAATGTGTTCTTGCTTTAGTGATATATATGTTTTTGGTTTTGCTAGTGTGAATGATTGCAGACTTATGTCTTATCCTCTTCCCTTCAGGATCTTCGGGGTATAACCTAGCTTCCACTTTTCCTGTCTTTTTCATACAATTGTCCAGATACCAGTTCCATCACTGGCCATATACAGACGAGCATCACTCTCCAGCCATGTCAGAGTGACAATGTCTTACAGTGTCTAAGTGCCCCAGTGTGTGGAGGGTGTGTTAAACAACTTTCAGGTGCTGCTGATAATGACTAGGGCCAAATGAAATCATCCCATGCTTGGGTCCAGTCTGATTTTATTCACTGAGAGCAATCATAATCTGTACTCTCTTTTTCAACATTAAGTATTTTGATGTTTATCTACTGATAGGTTAAAGCAAAATAATTTCATTTTCCTGTTAAAAGGAAAATAGGCAGCATACTCAAATAATTCTACAGCAACATATTGGGAAGGAAAATAAGGGAACAAAGGCAATGGATTTCGGTACCAGTGCTTCAGGATGACACATCAAATGGTTTCCCAAGCTGCAAACCATGGTTTTCGGTTATCTTTTACCAATGCACTAAATTAGAACTTATATTCAAATAAAAAAACCCAAAACAACAACAACAACAAGCCACCAAAACAAAAACCCAAAAAACCACCAACCCCAAAAATCCAGGAGAGATGGCAACTCCTTCCTGTGAAACCACATTGCCATGGTTTAATTGAAACCCAATTTAGGAGTTATTTTCTTCCCCAACCCCTATTGCCTTATTATTACCTCACAATATAGAGTATCATACGTATTCCAGAGCTGGAAATTGTCCAGGATTTTAAGATGGTTTAGTTCAAGTCCTGTGTTAACTGCCATTTTTTGTATAAAATCCTGGGGAGGGAAAAGTGTAGAGTATACCACAAATACTTAATACAGATGGTACATATGTGCATACAGATTCGTTACACCCAAACTGGCAACATAGTAGTGTTTTATTTTACACAGATTAAACCCATGTAGGGGAAGATTTTGGTTGCAGACTTCATTTTGTAACCATTTCAAGATACTGATCTGTATTTAAGACACTGCTTTTTTGTGGCCCTGCTGTGCATAGGTCTGATGCTCTCTCTGCTGCAGTCTTCTCTCCCTCTTCTGTCTGCTTCAGGAGGCTACCTCAGTCACCTCAAGCCTTCAGATATAAAAAGGAGGAAAGCACTAAGGGAAAAGGAACGTGAGAAAAAAAGCAAGGAGAAAATAGAAAATTAAAGAGAGCAGAGGCAAATACTTAAGATGAGGCAAAAAGAAATAGAAAAGGAAACTAGGTTTTCCTTCCACCATTGAAGTGGAGCTGAATATCTAAGTAATAGTTCCACAACAATTCCCATAGGCATTCTTACTTCATGCTACCACAGGAGAATAAAGGGACTCCTTGTATCCCTTATTCCCATGTTACCTGTTTCATACTGGTGGCTGAGAAAGAGGATAGCTATGAAGTTGTAATTCACCTCCCTAGCAGGTGAGTGAGGCTGACCAGAGTAGCTAAACTAGCAGAAAGTTAGAAATAAAGAGAAAAAATAAAGTGTTTGGTTTAGCCCAAACACTAAGCCTGAAGTGACTTTGAGAATCACTTGAGATTATGTGTACAGGTACAGTCAGGGTATGAGGAACATGAAACCCCTGCTTTATATGTACAAATGCTGTTACAAAGTGCATGGTAGGCAAATAAGAGAGCAGCAATAACTGCTATCTAGAGCAATTATTATCCAGAAGAACGTGGTAGCTTCAGGCAGGTATACTGTCTACGTTCCTACATCCTGCTGCAGCAGTGGAATGGGAAATTTGAATCCTGACTGTGAAGATGTGTCAGGGCCAAAACAGAAGCATATCTTGAAATGGATCCAAAATGAGTATCAGAGAAATTTACATAAGTCAGAGTGTTTGTCTGATTGGGCTTGCTTTAGTTTCCTGTTGCAGTTTCCACTTCAGAAAGTCACAGCAGGAAGGCATGAACCTTCTCAAGTTTCAGATTTATCAGATTTTTTAGAATTGGTTTCATGCTATCCTGTAAAACTGGAAATGGCTGCATCCATAAATTTCTTCTCCCCTCAGATAATTGAAATTTATTTATATGCAGCTCTAAATAGTCTCAGAAAATTAATTTTGAATTCACATTTTCAAAGATTAATATAGAAAAGTATGAGAAATGCATAAGCATACTAAACAAACATTTTGATCATATTTGCCTAAATTTCTGATTTTAAGAGGTCTCAGGATTTTTAAAAATTATTTATTTATGTTTGCATTTTAGCAAAAGCAAACAATGCAATTCCATAGCTTCTACATCTTGATTACTACTTCTTAGATTTTGTTTCCCTTTGATTTTGTCTTACCATATATGGTTGTATTCTCTTTTGAAATTCACTAGATGTTTGCGTTTCATTCTGAAGTTCATCAAAATGGGGACAGTCAGGCAGAGGAAAGTACAGACTCTGGAACAAGAGAAGTAAAACTTAGAGTATTTCTACTATTAATCAACTCACGTCTATTTTTTCTGTTGTTGATGTAATATTTGTTAGATTCATGGCTGTGCTTCAGCTACTCCATAATGGTTTGTTTGGGTACCTTGTTCATGACTTCAGTTAACATAAGCAATCGGTTGTGGTAATGTTATAGTTACGAGAAAATTCTGGCCGTTTGGGGAATTCTGACCAGTTGGGGTGGGTATTTGTTTTAGCAGTAGAATAGAAAAGCATTTTAACCAATTAAGGTAATTAAGGTGAGCTAATGATTAAGTAGTTAGAATAGGTATTTGTTTAGAATATATTTGTTTGAGAAACCTTGTTAAGAAACATTGTAGGATGTGTTTGTTTGAGAAACCTTGCTAAGAAACATTGTAGGATATGTTTGTTTGGGAAATCTTGCTAAGAAACCTTGTAGGATATGCTTTGTTAAAAATGTATAAATACGCTGTGAAAATGTATGAGCGGTGGAACACACCTTTGAGGGGCTACCCTCTGTGTTCCCCAGTGCTGCAAATAAAGAAATGCCTGCTTATCTGCAACTGCGTAGATAAGTTTTTGTCATCGTGATTGCGACTCCGTCAAGAGTAACTTGACTTTTCAGTAGCTACTTGTGGCTATGGTAGCATGATTTCACTAAGTTTAACTAATTTTGGCAAAAAGCAATTATGCATGTCTGCCAGGAGATTGCTTTGGGAAATGGATCAGAGACCATGATCAGAAATTTTAAAAAGCTACCATTTCTATCCTATTTCCTGAATCCCTCCAGTTGCAGCTTGACTCCATATGGTACTGGAATCTGAATTGCTTCTCCATCTACATGTTCTGCTCTTATCTCTTTAGAGGTAAGTGGCATATTACAGTAAACATCTTAACTACCACTTCATGGGCAGAATTTGAAACAAGAGTGACAAATAAATTGTGCTCCTTAAATATCAAAAAGCTATGAGTCTAATGGTTCTGTTCTTGTTCAGAGGGATGGTTCATTTTCAGTAATGCCAAGTATATGCATTACAAGGTCACTTGATAGTACATATTTGATCTGAACCATATGTAAATACATATGTGTCCATCAAACTCTGTGCTCTGGCAAATACACTTTAATCCAATTGCAGGACAGATGATACCTGATCCAACATAAAGCGTTAGTAAAAAGTTAGGATGAGCAAAATAAGCTTGCGCTGTTTCACCATGTTATGTCACATCTAAACTAGATGTCACATCTAACACTAGAGCGTTATTGACCTAGCACTAATATTATCCTGTAACCACACAAATAACATCAAGGTACTGACTTAATATACAGCAGAGAAATCTGTGTAGATGCTCCTAGAAAGACTCCATGCCATTTAACTTCAATTCATATGGATTATGTATGTGCAAGGAGGTCTGCTCTGTCTTGGGGTAAACATTAGCAGACAGCACTTCCATTGTTTCTCTTTGCTTTTTGATTTTTCGATATAAAGCTTGCAGCAGCCATCAACTGATGCTAGCATACTTTCACTTGGACTGATTTCCAAGGATGTATTTTTACTGTAACAGCAGCACACTAGAGGGTGAAGGCTCAAAGCTGCAATATGAAGCTGGGGAATGTTGTTTAATTACACAATAACAAATGTTTCTCTTGCTGTATGGCTTAATTATCCCCCTCTAGGTGTTATTAATTAAGCCACTCCTTTTGGCCTCATTAAGCAGTACTCAGCACTGTTGCCTGTCAGGTCTTGATAGATCTCCATGGCTGAAAAATAAACTGTGTTTAGGGTTTTTTTACAGGATTGTACTTGGCCTCAATTTCCCACTTTGTGTTGCTTAGGGCTTGAAAACACCCTCATACATCTGTTTGGTTTAACAAGGGAACAATGTTTTTTCTGGATGGTTTGCATATTTAACAGGAGTTTTGAGTTGCTGCAGGGGTGTGTTTCAGTGAAACGTCAATACCTACTTCTGAAGCAGCTGAAGAAATGATGAGGTATTAGAGAGTCCTACAAATGAGCTTGGCTTTTCCAAACAGGTCATTGCACTGCACTGTGATTCCCCTGAGGGCTTTGAGGTTTTTTTGGCCAAGGCTCTTATCACTTCAATCCTTCTTCATGTCTTCAGGTGAAAGAACTTCCCGTAGTGTTCCACATTTAAAAAACAGTGGCATTATTTTTTGTTTAGGTACAGATTCACATTTCAAGTTGAATCACATTGTGGGTAATCCAGTTTGTGGAAATCCTGCTTTTAAGCATGGCCTCCAAGAATGGAGGAATGTCATTCGGAGGCTGGTTTGGCCACACTCTAATGAAAGGGTCCATCCTCTGATGTTGGTGACTGGACAGGCAGTTATTTAATATAGTTTTTGTATACATTTCCTTAAAGTCAACTTCTGTCCTCAAAGACAGAAGAAAATTAGCTTTTCTGTCATTACACTTTGTAACTTTTTGTCCTTGTTGAGCATGCTGTTCCTTATACAGTCCTTGTCACAGGAGACAGTGAACTTAAAATCTAAACCCGAGTCAGCCAGGAAGAGCTACGTGTAGTAAAAGATCTACAAGACCTACCATTCAGGTGCATCTGCTCTTATTATGAACCACAAGGCAAGTACTAGGGTTTTATTAAACGTTTGTATAGCACTGAGCATAAAAGGGTCCTTGTCTGTAATTAGGGTGCCTAAGTGCTACCAGAATAGGAAAGAACTAATTGAGAGGTCATTACACTGACTGGTGAAAATTCCATTCCTTGAATAAACCATGGAACAAACACGCTAGGAAGGGAAGATCTATCTGTCTGATTGGCGCTTAGAAAAACACTTGTCCTCTCTTAAGTTTTAGAACAACTTCTCTACAATACCGTCCAAAAGTGTCCTTGCCAAGAGAAGTGCTAGATCTGTAACTTGAAGAAAATTGCAGTGTGGGTTACAATTCAGGTGTTCTCCAACTATAAAAGGAGGTTTTTCATGCACCTATTACAGCTGACCTATGACATGCTTGTCAGCCAGTAGCTGCAATTGATATTTACTATTAGATTGAACTCAAAAGTAATAGAAATTTTTTTAAAGGTTCTTTCCCTCCTTTTTTTCCTCTTTTTTTCCTTCTGGGAAAGTTTAAGGCATTATAGGAAGTGTCCAGCCAGTACTCACCTGGTCTGTTGATTTTTGCAAAATATGAACTGGGATGGGTTGCCAGAGAAGATCAGGGTTCCAAATTTGGCTGCTAGTTGGTGGAAAGAGGCCAGAAAGGTATGACTGGGCACTCATAATGGTGCGATCGTAATCTGTACTTTGGATATAAAACTGAAGATAGAATGGCAAAAAATTAAAAATAAAATGAAAGCAATAAAAATAATAATGAAATGTAACCCAACTCATCAATCCTGGCTTCTCATTTTCAGTTTTATGTTTTTGCAGAAAGTCAAAACAGTGTAACCGTAACTCTGTTTTGTAGGGCCCTACTTCATTTGCATAAATGGAATTTCCAAAACATCTTTCAATCTGGAATCTAACTTTCAGACTGAATGACAAAGAATATGAAAGCATAATTTAAAAGAAGGAATTTCTCCATCTTCTGAGATTCAGGGAACACTGATATGACCCATCTGCTATAGCTTAGAAATGAAGGCTCTTAAAACTGTAAGCCTCTCTTGGAAGCATGGCAAAACTACAGTCTTTTATGCCTTCTCATCAATGCATCCCTCATGTACTGACCAAAATGGTAGTGGTATTTTCTCCACAATGGTTCTGTACCATATGAAAAGGACATCCAGACAACTGTTAGACCTCTCTTTTTCAGGATGAAGTATGTAAGCATGGCCCATCACATGGCTGGATGCGCGTCCACCTTCAAATGCAGAAGAACAATATTGGATGACTGTGGATAAATTCCCAATTCATTTGGTGGTGTAGAGCTGTTCAGCCCCGGAAAACTGGGCAGTGGAAGACCCAGACTGAATGCAGGAGCTGAAAGTTAGATTTTAGTCTATGTTTTTACCTTGACGTAAAAGCCTGACTTTCAAAAATGTTCTTCTGTTACCTTATTTTGTCTGTTAATAAAATGAATATGATAATGTGCTTTTATCTAGTGCAAGTCCATAATTCCGCTATGCCACAGACATGTCCTCCAGACTGTTTTGCTATGTACCTCTTGCCGGTTGTATGTGCTGTTCAAAAAGTTGAAATATCTTTCTCTCATGTACTGTCCAAGTTCGAATAGCTGCTGCATTCCAGTCTGTGAGGCAAACATAGAGATGACTATTAGATTAAGGTTACTGGAGAATCGTAATGTAGAAGTTTATTTTCTGTTTTCTTTTTTGTCTTCAGTGATCAGTTTTTATGTGATCGTTATCCGTTTGAATAATGCACTGTTAATAGTGTAGGTAATCTAGAATTTTTAATAGAAATACTCATTTCTATCTATGGAAAAATGATACATTCTGAAATACTAATACTCCAATATCTGCTATAGGAAAGGCAGTGCATCCGATTCTATACAAATACCATTTCCACAGTGCTGTAGCTCTGCAGATGTTCCTGGAGTTGTTCATGATCAATGTTGTAAAGAGTATCTGTTAGTGACAGCTGAAAAAGGATGATTGATAACCCAGTAGTTACTATTGTCATTGCTCTGCTATTTGATCAACCTGATAAATTTGTGGCTTGCATTTCATGCCTTAAGTATCATTCTTCTCTCTTTGCCTTGGTGCACCTGCAGTTGTCTTAGACTGCATACTGTCTTTTCTGTTATTCATTGCCAAAACTGTGAGCTAAACTTTTTAACTTTTAGCTGTTAGAGAAGTACATTCTTACTACTGTTGCTAAGAAGATAATGAAATAGCAAAAAGCTCTCAAAAAAATCTGTGCCACAGCAGAAAGTTTTTCCTTCTTACAACATAAGCTACGTATCTGGGATAATAATGTGTTGTTTGTGTGTCTGAATTTTACAGAACTTTCAAGCCTCACTTCAAACACTAGATGCTGATTTGTCTCTGATTCATACTTCCGCATCATGATGAATTATTATTAGGAAATACATTGTTTTCTCTCCAGAATTTCATACATCAAATACAGTTAAAGACCTAAGGCTTGATGTTGAAATGCCAGAGCAAGAAGTAGGTTCAGTGCACCCTGGTGAAACTCTGGGCTGAAAGCAGCTTTATTAGAAGACACATTGTCCCCAGAGAAAGCCTTCTCTTGTTTTGTGAAGAGGTGATTGCCAGTCAAGTAATGAGATGTGGACTCCTCACTTGACCTGGTGGGCTGGTGTCATTCTTTTACCCTGTTAAAGGTCCCAGTGCTTAGTGGTCTTTAGAATTTCATCCATGTTAGGAGTATAGACAATGTTTAAACTTGCCATTGATTTGAATGTAGACACACTATCAGGAAGATGTTGCTTTTGGGAAGGTAGTTACAAAGCTATGATGAAGAAGATTTCAATTTAACAGTACTTGGATGAATAATGTTGCAAAAAAGTTTATGAATTACAGGATATTGCTAATACCAACTATCAGTACTTGGGATTTTCTAACGTTTCTGAGACACACAAAATAAAATCTGCCCACTTCCTATTTGAGTAGCATGTGTATAAGTGCTTCTAAGAAAATCAACATACCTTGGTAAGTTGTCCAAATCCCTGGGGCCATTCACTTTCTTTGTGTAGGTCAGTTGGAAAGTTTACAATTGGTGTTCGATCACCATGTCGGAAAACCTAACAGTATTACCAATAAGCAAATCAAGTTAATTACTGTTAACGTTCCATTCTTACCTAGATAAAAGTCAAGCATACATTATATTTTCAGTGCCATTTTTCAACCGAAAATATTTTAGTGTCTGCAGAAACCTGGTCAAGTAGGATTGGAGTACATTCTTTACACACAAGAACAGGTATAATGATATAGGATTTTAGTGGGCTCAATCCCAATGATTCTTCCTCCTAGAACACAGAATTAATCAGCCAAGATGTTAATGCTGAGATTACATCCATAGCTAGGCACCTAGACAAGAAATATGACTGCAATTTGGACACTCAGCACCTCTGAATATTAAACCATCTACTGATATGGTTATATGAGTATTTAATTACTTTGGCATAGACACTTGAAACTTTTGTTAACTACTTTTTTCTTAGCAGTATCTTTAAAAGTAATTCCGTGTACACATGGATCTTATGTTTTATTTCTCAGTCATCCTGAAATATAAAGATGAAAAATTATAAACATTTACACTGTTAACTTATTTAATATTTATTAATACTTTTACATACATGTATGAAAATATTTGAAATATTTTCAGATCTTTTCTGTTAAATTCAGTGAGATTTAAGAGTTTGGTCACTTTGCTATCCTGGACACTCCAGCATGCTGAATATTAGTGTCATGCAGTAAATCATATATTTTTTTACATCAGAAACCTTAAATGAGTTTTTTTTAAATTTTTATTCCAGCATACAAAGAAAGTGCCAACCCTAGATCAAATAGTTCTGAAAACCTCTGAATTAACCTCCCTAAGTATGTCATGTGTGGCCTTACTAAAATGAAGTCCACAAAAGTTTCACATGAAAGGAAATGCTGGAATACAAATTCACAGGGCTCCAGACAATCTTCCAGGATGCTGATCCAAACTGTTGCAGAAGTTACCTTTGATTGTAACAATGTTCATATAACCAACCTAATTGCTGATTTTACAGAATGAAACAACAATCTGGAAGCATGGTATATTTGTTCATAAAATGACATTTATTCCATAATACCTCACTGACATATAGCTTGATTATAATTAATACCCTCCGTTGTCTCATTAAACTACATCATTCTTGCCCAAGCATCAGAGAGGTTTGTGCACGCTACTTAGTTTGCCACTCCCACTGGGAGGTGTTTATGTTTATATTTTTCAAAGTAAACACAAGCAGTATGGCTTATTGGTTTAATTACAACACACACCCTTTTCATCAGCCTTCTGTACTAATGTGCACAAATGTGTGCTAGAGCAGGTACTTCAGAGATGGAAAATATTATCCATTAAAGGCAAATATAATTGGATTTCTCCCTCTGTTCATTTTCTACAACAGTCAGCAAGGTTTGCTAGATGTTACAATTAGAACCATATAGAAAACTGCTTATTATTTTTTTACTTTGCTAGTTGAATTTCCCTGAAGATGTGGCCAACCTGAAATGAGTATTTGTCAGCAAATCAAAGAGGTTTTTTCATCATCATCATCATCATGTTGACCAATGTGAAATTGCACAGTTTCAAGAAAAAAAAAACAACAAACAGGTGAAGAGCTACATTGTCTGGTGATTGATTCAGCTGCATGCAAGAAAAATGAGTGAGGGCAATGTTTGTGTCACTAATTTCATTGGTGTTCTGACATGCTGACATACACAGGTGTTGGCTGGGATTAATGAGGTTTTCTGGACAAGCTGATGCCTCTGTAAAGAATGAAGGTTAAATTCCCAATTAAAATGTAGCTGCATACTTTCTTGTTAAATTTTCCAGCTTCACAGCAAAGCATATTTATGTGTAACTGACAATTGCTCAAATTGACTGACGCGATTAAATTACTATTTTTTTAGGCAATATGTAGCAATGAATCAACACTTGGCCAATAAATATGCCCTTTCTATTAGTGAAAAATTACTGAAAATGTGTTAGATTTTAAATACTGGTTTATGATGCTTTATACTTAATGTGCAACATAACCCTCAGTGTATATTTCACTGTCACAACAGACAAACCCTAAAAAATTTCAATAAGCCAGAGTTGCATTTTACCTGGACAGAGGTGAGAAAGCAGAGATCAAGATCAAAAGATATGCAAGTATATGTGGGAGCAGGAGATGTAAAGAAAAATATTTTCTCTCTTTGTAAGAAATGGAAGCAGTGGTGGTTGTTCTCTTCTAAAAAGCAGCATAGCTTCTTTAAGTCCATTCAAAATAGAAAAAAGTTCAGTTCCTTGTTTATATTTCTGCATCTTCATTGCACAGTGACATGTAAATATGATATTAACACTGAGTTGGAAGTAGCAAGGAAGAAATGAAGAGCCCTGAGCACAGAGTCCTGTTTTTAGGAACTGAAGAAATAAGCTTCTTAGCCAACTGGTTTTTGTTTGTGCTCAAACCTCCTTCTTGCTTGCTACTTCTGAGAATGACCTTGTTTCAGCTGCACTTGGAAATGAAACAATGACCTTATGAACAACCACTTAACCTGAAAGGCTAACTAATTCAGTTGTAGTCAGCTACATTTTAGGAAACTTTTATTTTTAATTTAAAACTTTAAGAAGAGCTTGTGTATTTGAAATTTTGTCTTTTTCATTAGAACACTTGATATTGTTAGAGAAAGAAAATGTATCCCTACAATCCTTGCATTGTTCATCAATGCGTGTTTCTCAACAGTAATTTTTTGGATGTTGTTAAAAATGAGTAGATCCTTCAGATTAATTTAAAAATATGTGTTCTGCAGCATGTATTGCTCCTGGCCTACAGATTGCCTTCCTGACCTTTGGGAAGAAGTAGAACATGGCAGGTTGAGAGAAAAGGAACAAGGAAGCATCATAAAAGGTGAAAAGACACTGAGGGAAGGGAGGGCAAGGAGGATACACACAAAAAGAGCAAAGCACACGTGTTTGGTGTGTTCGTTTCAGCACTTCTGTCTGAAGTGCTTCACCTCAGTCAGTTCACAAAAGCAATAGATAGATTGTTACCAAATACCTTCTCCTTCAACCCTAATACAGCTTGAACCTGATCTGGTGTCTGGGTTCTCCCATTCACTCTTTGCAACTTTGTGAGGGTGATCACTTCAGATCAGAATGTCCACCTGACTCAGACTTTGGCCAGCATTTGCTTCCACTGTTGTCAGGTGAAAAATCACGTTGGAGAAAAACCAGTGCAGAGGAGAGGGTGAACTGAGAATCTGGCATGTGTAGTATATAACACCTTAATTCACAAATGTCATGAATTACAGTGAAATATCTGTCTCTGAGTAATAGTGAACGTCTTACGGATATTTGTATTGATAGACTCAACTTCAAACAAAAAGATTTCTTATTTTGAAGCCAGCAATAAGAATGAAGAAATAAGAGACAAATGAAACCTGTCATTGTGCCAGTTCAGGGAAACCACAAATGTAGAAATACTGAACATGTTTAGTCAAGATTTCAAATGGCTTGTCTTGATTAGACAAATAGATAACATGCTTAGTTAACACTTCCTGTCCTGAGTTAAAAGAATAAAGACATAATTAAATTGCAGTACCTCAGAAACCACACCTCTTTGTATATATGATAGGTGAAATCAGTGCCTGTGTGGAGGCAGAAGTTACAGGTCAGAACTTCTTTATACAGAGGCATTAAATCAGTGTCTCATTTCCATTTGGGTACCCAATTGTCCTACGTATTTCCTATTTTCTTCTCTTCTGTCTAGTTTAAATTCAGTGCACAAGGATTATGGCGAAAGCTAATGTTTACATATGAGAAAGAAAATTAAGGTAGCAGTTTGACAAATTGGCTTCAATTAGAGCTTTTCAGCCAAAAGGATTTGTGACCAATAATCAAAATGCACAGAATCAGCATAAAGATGGGAATTGTGAGGACAGGGCAAGACACATTCCCAGAGCATAGCACAATTCTAGAAATGAGCAAAAGGGAACTTTTGTCTGTTTTTTTCTCCTCTGCAGATGTAGTTTATATTGTGCAATACTGCTAAGACATTTTTAAAAAGTAATTATGACACATTTTGACAATGCAGTAATACTCTCAGGTGAAAACATAGCAACTTACACAGTACAGCTGGAAAACAGCTATTAAATTATCTCAGCAAATTGCCTTTTAAACTTATGTTAACTGTAACCATACCTTCATGATATCCCATTATATCAGTGAAATGTTCTGGGGCCAATTCCTGTCCTATTTATTAATGCTAGCAATTCTGTTCCCTTGAAAATTCAATCAGTGAGTTCAGAAGACAAAATTCAACTGAACACACAGAAACCATGCCTTGAGAAAGTATGTTGATAATAAGACTAAACCTATTGTAACTTTTCAGGCAGATTGGTCAGTCTTAGGAAAAGTATCAGGGATAAAAGGAAGACAGTTTAAATGAAATTTACCTGTTATTTTAATATCAATTGTGATAAGCTACCCTATAAGTAAATAAAGTGGTTTTGGCCTTTTTTTTTTTTTGGTAGGTGGGGAAAGTGGCTTCATAGCTGTGGTAAGCAGCTGATTTTGGATAGGAAACCTCTATCTCCACAATGGTGAGTATTTCCTGTAACCCTTTCTGCAAAACCATTGCTTGTTAGAACACAATAAGAGCTGCAATTCAATAAAAGTCTCCTTCTCTTCACTTCAGAGAGTTAATTCTCCAAGTCTTGCTGACTGCCTGACCTCATCTGTATGTCCAGTTCTCTCTCTTATCATCGAAAGAACATTTAAGTATATCGCTATACAGAGAACATTACTGGAATTAGCATTGAGTCCTTGCTGTGTGTAGTGTGCTCTGACAGTGCAATAAGCCTCAGCACAGTAGGAACCAGTTTTTCCTGTGCACTCTGGCCTCTCTCCAAGTGGCACATCTACAATGCAGCCAATAGACAACTAGATATGAATTACTTTATGTAAATTATACATTTTGGACACAATACTTCTGTCTGTTATCTGTATATGCACATAATATCTTAAATAGAGAGAAGTGGAAGATCTTAAAATTCCTATTTATAAATGTGAATTCCAATCCCCACAACTTTATATTGAAAATATGCCTTTAGACCAACTATTCTTTATCAGTATAGCTCTTACTAAGAAAAAAATCAGAATGAAGAGGACTATGATGCAACCTTCACTACCTAAACTGTTTCATTGAATTACTCTCTCCTTTATGCGAGTTGTTGGGGAAAGTGACATTCAAGTAGTGTCTAGTTACTTTAAAATAAGAAATGGCCCACCAAAAAAAAACCCAATTACAGTCTGTTTCAACCTAACTGCAGTTAATGCAACATGTATCTCAAATCTCTACATGAAAATGCTCTTTTCTGTTTTTCAGTATAGTGCTGTGCCAATTCAGTTATTCTGAAATGGAAAATACTTTTGTTTTCATGGTGACTTCTGTAACATTATAAGCTTCAGCTTCCAAGCACATAGAAGGTAGGCCATCATTGCCAGCTCTCAGACTATGCAACAGAGTGTCAGCTAAAGAAAGCAAGAACACGTAAACCAGACCTTAGATCTCTTAACTTCTGTGCACTATGCATCTACCACAAAGCTAAGTTGTTTAGTTATCTTGAAATAATAACTAGGGATTAGGAGATGAATATTCCTTTTTGTCTTCTTTAAGTAAAGTCTTTAAACTCAGCAAGCAAAAGGGCAGAAGTTACTTCTAAGTCTCAAAAGAGGCAAAGCAACTGCACACCTCATTTGATTCTACAGCCATATAAAATTCTCTGTATTCCCCTCAGCAAAACAGAAAACGAATCTACTTACTGCAACAACAAACTTCAGTTCTCTTTCTGCAGTAGTCTGCTGAAGCAAAATGAGGATAACATGAAGAGAAAAACGCAGGATCCTAGATGGGTTGGGAAGCCGTATCACTCCCATCCTGACAGAGGATGAAAAAAGGCTTTGTAGCTCCAGCAGCTGCTCAGGTTGAACAGCCCAGACACCAGGGTGTACTTTCAAAAGGGGTGGAACTGCTGTCGGTGAATTTCAAATCCAAGAGGAATGTTGTGTGACTGCCCAACAAATTGCATTGCCCTTTGTTTTCAAATTACTGTTTACATTCTGTTTAATCAAATCATAATTCAGTTCCTTTTTCTCAGTGATATTTTTCTCTTTTGGAGTTTAAGGATGAGGTTAAAATATGAAGGAGTTTTTAAGTATTCCTAATATTTCAACCTGCCTGTTCTGTTTTCACTTCTCAAGGCTTGGAATTTTTCCAAACTATAGCATGGCTGTGAGGATGAACACAGAACCAAAAGACAGGCAATACTGTTTCTCTTTTCTCTTTGCTACTCAGTTAGTCCTCTTTTCAGCTTTCCCCACTCTCCTTTTTTTCTTTCCTCTTATACTTTGTCACTGTGAAATAAGAATAATTATTTCAAACAATACTTTGAAACAATTTTTTTTTTGTTTTGAAACAATATTTCAAACTTACTGGAGGTTAAAATGACCAGTCCCTCCAATAAAATAGTTAAATAAACCTTGCAACAAGTACGTTCTTTAAGCTCTTTGCTGGGCAGTTATTTGCTCTTCAATCTGTGTGTGTCGCTTTTGTTTTCCCTTGGAGTATATTTATACTTCCCCTTTTGTAAAGGCTTATGTCAAATTCATTTTTGGCCTCAGTTCTCTAAGGAATTTTTTGTGAACAAGCCCTGGAACTTACTTTGTTATTGTTACTGATTAAGAACACTTTTTCTGACAGTAGATCGCTGGCTTTCAGAAGATTGCCCAGCTTGCTTCTGCTGACTTCCTCTCTATGAAATAAGAATAACTATACTTCTAGACTTGATTTCATAACGATTTTCTGAGTAAATTATTTATAGTTTGCAGAGACCTATAAACAGAGTTCTCTAAGTGTAAAAACTTAAGATCTTCTGTATTGTCTGAGTCATGCTATTTCTGTCATACCTAAACCTGTCTCAGGGTCTTTTGTTGAGCTCTCTGCAACACTATTCCCTACAACAGATATTTTACCATTTACCAGAAATTCTGTCTCTAGGGCTCTAAACCCACTAAGCCTCAAGTGCTCTCTTTGCGTTGTGTGAATGACCACTGTGTTTCCATTTCCTCTGACGGATAGGAGTGGAAGGGAGGAGAACCATGGCTCCCAGACTTCCCTATCTCTCTTGCCAGTGCATGCTCAGTATTCAGCACTTATTGAACTTTTTTCCTCCACTGTTATGTTCCCACCCTCCTTTTTGGTCTCCCCTGGTGTGATTGTGTCTGTGCAAAAGGTGTAAGAGAGTAATTCATACTTCATGAATATATAGTACTTTGTCTTTCTGAAAACAAATGTAAGCTGATCATCTTCGTCTATTATTTAAGACTGTAGGTCATAAAATAGACTTTTTTTAGAATATTTTAATATGCCTCAAAAATCAAGAATGGATGTCCTACTTTTTTAATCTATGTAGTTTTATATATAGGTTGTGCCTAAGCTTTTTGGACCAAGGAATCCTTGTTGGCTCTCAGAATTCTTTCTCATCCTTTGCAAGCCCTTACTATGAAATGCATAACCAATTAGTTTTTATAAAATCTGTTGTTTTTTTGTGCTTCTTTGATAAGTGACTATGACTAATGAAGTCTCATTATTATGGAACCCTTTTAGTAACTTCACTTCAGACATGAAATCAATTTTTTTTGTCATGCTGGATGGCATCATTCAGGAATGTTTGAAAATATATAACAACTGTATTTTATAGAAAATCTTTGCCAACATCTCTTTAAAAATGGTATTTCAACCCAAGACCAAGCATATGATAAATAATTCTGCTTTCTGTGGCTTCACTCTTCCCTTTGGCATGTATACTTTGCTAGTGAGGTTTTTTTTCCTGCCTAAAAGACTGTGCACCACAACAACTTAAATAAATCTCTACATATTCCTAAATGGAAGAACACCCTCATTCATGTGTCATAGTGGTTAGGACAGGCTCCTGTAGGAATCCTGTAGGTAATCTGTAAGTATGTTGGTAGCATGTATTATATTTGGAAATTTCCTTGCTTGTTTTGGATTGTCTCCATGTCTACTCTGCATTTGTCATATTCTGCAACAATTAAATCCTTACCCTTTTTGGGAAAAGTTGCTTCAAAATTTAAAAAGAAATCATATTTGGGTGGTGAGACACTGGCACTGGTTGCTCAGGGAAGCTGTGGATGCCCCCTCCCTGGAAGTGTTCAAGGCCAGGTTGGACAGGGCTTTGAACAGCCTCGTCTAGTGGGAGGTGTCCCTGCCCATGGCAGGGGATTGAAACTGGATGATCTTTAAGGTCTCTTCCAACCCAAACCATTCTGTGATTCTATGATTCTACACCTAAGTCAATCTAGTTACAGTTGTCCAAGCACCATAATGCAAGTGAATCAAAACAATTTGAATAATCTTTATGTTAATGTGGCTCATCGGCATATATTTTAATTATGAAATTATGGCATTAAGTAGAATTAGCTTAAACACAATTGTCCATTTTAAATGCATGTATTTATTTTAAAGGCTTGCTGAAGCATAGCTAGATTGCCTTTGAAGCGGACTGGTTGCAAAAGAACCTACCCTTTAATGTACACAAGGGTTACCTTAGGTAACTGCTGCTCGTGGAGCACAATCTACACACTGAAAGGGTTGAAGTCATTGCAGTCAAGGCAGCCGGATATGAAACTGTTGCCGGCACTCATGGACCAGGCTGCTCAGGTTCTGTTGCTGACTGAATTTGCAGATCAGCACTTAAACTAGTTTTGGTTTATCTGCAGTAATTTTTTTTCAAGCTTTTTTTGAGCTGAAAAAAGGAAAGAAAAGAAAAATTTTGGTTTCAATTCCAAACTTTTTCAAGCACAATTTTGACACACTTAGGACAAAAGCAAAAGGCTGTCTTGCAGTCCTCTGCTGGGGTGATTTCACCCAATTGTGGGGAGTCAGAAGGGACAAAGGAGTTTGTGACATAGGAAGAATTGCCTTACTTAGGCTGATGACTGGACATGGTTCTGTGTCTTGCACTACAGGAGAAAATACCCAAATCACAAAGCTACTGTTCTAAGACAGGCGGGGCAAAGAAAATGTCTACTCAGTGTCTTCTAATAATTCCTTAGTTTGCCCCAAATTTGTAATATTCACCTGGTTACAGGGCACTCGGAGAATTTATTTCTGGTTTTATGATTAAGATGTTTGCCTGAGACATAGGAAGCCTGATTTGCACACCAGAAAATGTGCAAACAAAGTGAAGAACAGTGAGAAAGAGGCAGAAAGTGCTATTCATCTTCACTTTCCCCTCTGAAACCCTTCAGCCTGGTGGTGATTTTATTTTCTGGAAGATGTTGAGTCAGATCGTTTTGGTAAAGGAGCGATTTCAACTTGTGTCTGCTGCCACATGTCAGATGAGTACCCTAAGCACTAAGTAAGGAGGACACCTACTTGTACCTCAAATTAAACAAATCAAAATTAGTAAATGAGTTTGGCCTATATTTGTGAGTTACGTGGTATTTGTTTTTGTTCTTTTGGTAGTCACTCAGCTCAGTAAATAATCCAAAGACAGTGAAAGGAATGAAAACTATAGTCCAGACAGCCCAGTGCCACGTTTTCCTGGCAGCACAAAATAACTTGCTTTTCTGTTTTTGTTCATTCCCCATCTTGCTGACATTTTTTCAGTGTATGACAGAAAAAACAGCGAAGATCACAAGCTACATCTCACATATTTTACACACTATTTGGGTTAATGTATTATAGGAAGTCTTCTTTAAAATATGACTAGACTGCCTATGCATTACTTGTGAAAGAAGGGAGGGAGTTGAATTTTCATGTGATCCTGCTTTTGCAATATGATATAAAAAAACTTTTTCTTTACATTCTAAATTCCAAATCTGAACTGTAATTTTTGTTGATTTCTTCCTTAAGAGGAACTGAAATGAAACTGTTTATAATTTCATACCTGCAAAAAGCTATAGGGCAATTTTTTCAAATTGAGTCAGCTGGTGCAGTTGTAGAAAAACATAATTTAGAGTATTTTATTACTTGTTCACTGATGTCACCAATTCTTACTCATACAACAGGATCTGGGCTTGAAATTTCAGCCTTAATGAACACTGATCTTTATTTTTCCTTGGAGTAAGCAACGTATAAAGTAAGTCTTCCTTTCTGTGTTTCTACAGTGTTAGTCCTAAGAACAAAGAACATTATAAAGAATGTGTGTGATGGAGTTTCTGTTGAAAAGGGATGAGGAGAATAAAAGAATTTAGAAATACCTTAATTAAGACATTTAGAAAGATCTTAATAATCTTAATATTTAGAAATATCTTAATTTAGAAATATATTAATTATAGAAATATCTATAATGTTAATTTATTTTGAAATAAAAATTGAAATTTAATTTTGCTCTTCAGAAATAGGAATGTTTAAGGTACATTCACTGGGGCATGTAGCGGGGGAGAAAACATGGTCTGATGACGTGATGGAAAAGGGGGACCTTTCATTGGTCTCTGTTAGCAGTGCCCTCAGCTAGGATGCACTTCCATAGCTGAACTGAGTACTGAGGCTAGGGTCCAGCTCCATGATCCCTCATGATCCTATCTGTTCACAGACAAATCTGTGGGACAGAAGGACCTTCTTGAAGGTCTGAGAAATTTTGAGAGATGGAATTGGGTGAGGAAGAAGAAACTGGGAACTGGAGTTCTAAAAAGAAATACACATTTCATAGGCTTAGTGTCCATTTTAAAAGCCTGGTCCAAGGAAAGGAAGCTAGAATGTCAAAATTTTCTGCATCTCATTTATTACTCTGTTTCTCTTTGAAATGACCTGCAGGCAACAAGGCTGTTGGCAAAGCTCCTATCTGCTGTGAGAAAATACTAAGAAAGCCTATTTCTTCAAGCAAAGAAGTGTCCACTGTTTTCAGAAGTTG